TGGAGAGCATGTGCTTTGTTCAGAAAAAGGTGCACTTGGGAAACTCACTGTCAGAGGATCTTTATTTTGAACAGGGCTTATTGTGAAAGAAAATAAAACATATACTAGATTCCAAGTTCATTGCCTGGAGTGTAGTAGGTGCTCAGCAAATGTTGGTTTCCCTCCCTTTTGATCACTTCTGCAGGGGAGTGTTAATCTAGACCAATGTTGCTAAGGTAGGGTGACCAGATGTCCCACTTTTGGCGGGACAGTTGTGCTTTTTAACAATTTGTCCCAAGGCGTTTTAAAAAAGTCCCAATTTTTGGAAAGAATGCACTAACGGGCAGGAGAACAGGAAGGGAATATACGGTTTTTGGCTGCCATGTGGCTATTTCACCAGAATATGAGTTTTATATTATTTTTGTTAATTTTATAATGTTAAACTGTAATAATTACAAATAATTGTTGAGGAGTGATTATCGAGAACTGCTTATCAAAGTTTGCATTGTTGTCAGGCCCTGCCCTGCCCTGCCCCCCGGCCATGCTGTCCCACTTTACAAATGTTAAAATCTGGTCACCCTATGCTAAGGTCACTAGAGCACCTGCTATGTGTGAGGCACTCTAAGAGACTTCCAGTATCTGAGAGTGAGTAGGATGGTTTCTTGATTACTAGGTTGAATTTGAGTTGAGTTCTACACAGCAGGCCTTTGGAATCATTAAAAGTTTATAAGCACTTAAGGGAAGGGTCTAAACCTCCCCTCAGAGGCCTCAAATTGTGGGTGGAAGGTAGAAGGGCCAAGAGTCTGGGGCAGCATTTGAGTATGGCACTGTTGGGGGGGAAGGGAAGAAGCCACAGGTGTGAGTATGGCATGGACAGCAAGGATGCAGGGCAGAGTGAGTAGGACCTGGCCACTGATTGGATGCCAGGGCAGACTGGGACAGGGAAAGGGAAGGTGCAATTCAAGGTTGAGTTTGGGCGCCTGAGAAACTGCTGGCACTGTGGGCAGAAATGGGGAGAGGGCGGATGATGAACTCAAGTTTCAGTTATGTTCCATTTCAAGCTCCCTGGAGAGTTTAATTCAAAGTCGTCTGTGAAAGAGAGATCCTGATACAGAGAACAGGCAACATCACCATTTCTCTCCTCCCTTCTGCCCCTCAGGAGCTCGCCACTGGGGGCAATGGGGGCCTGTCTCCCCTATCTCTATGCTCACATGCACACATGGGCATACTATAAATATGCTTATTGTACCAGAATAAGCTGTGTCCCTCAGCATGGTCCACCCTGCTTTATTAGCTGAAGAGTTTTTTTTAACTGCTCTCAGCTGGTGTAGAGTGGCCATCCTTGGAGCTGTATTTGCTTGAGACATGTTGGCTTCTAGTAAGTAGTTTAAGTAGTACTGGAATAGGGACAATTAGTTAACTTTTGATTCTCCCATCCTCCTTTAATCAAACAGAATTTCTTCTTCTTTTTCTTTCTTTCTTTTTTTTTTTTTTTTTTTTGAGACAGAGTCTTAACTCTGTCACCCTGGGTAAAGTGCAATGGTATTGATACAGGGTTCTCCCATTCAAAGTTGGACATGGGACCCTAGTTTTCCTAGGCCTGGGCAATTTCATGAAGTAAACGTCCTGACCTTTTGCCTTGAGCTGGGGGGACTGCATTCATTCATTTGTCGATAACACTCATTACCGATGAAAACGTGTTTCCATTTGCCAAGTCCTGGCAAAGTGTAATTCTCAAGACCTAATACCCCTAGTCCAGTGGTTCTCAACCTTCCTAATGCTACATCCCTTTAATACAGTTCCTCATGTTGTGGTGACCCCCAATCATAAAATTATTTTCATTATTTCATTGTAATTTTGCTACTGTTATGAATCGTAATGTAAATATCTGATATGCAGGATGGTCTTAGGCAGGAGTCCTCAAACTTTTTAAACAGGGAACCAGTTCACTGTCCCTCAGACTGTTGGAGGGCTGGATGCAGGCCCCGGGACAAGTCGGCTGCTAAGCAGGACAGGCAGCGGCGGCAAAAACACCTGTTGGGCCAGATAAATGTCCTAGGCGGGCTGCACGTGGCCCACGGGCCATAGTTTGAGGACGCCTGGTCTTAGGCAACTGCTGTGAAAGGGTCATTTGACCTCCAAAGGGGCAGCGACCCACAGTTTGAGAACCACTGCCCTAGACAAAGAGCCCATGTAGAGATTTCCTCCTTGGATCTTTCCCTCTGCCAGAAGCTCTGGTGCTTTTTATTCCTTCTGTATTCCTTTCTGTGTAATAATATCCTATCTTACCACCGATCTGTGGTCTCATGGATTCATTCTTCAAATCCCTGAGACCAAGGACTTACTGAGGAAAGAAATCCCAGTAACAGTATCATTGTAGCTCACAGCAACCTCAAACTCCTGGGCTTGAGCAATCCTCTTGCCTCAGTCTTCCGAGTAGCTGGGACTACAGGTACTCACCACTACCTGGCTAGTTTTTCTGTTTTAGTAGAGACTGGGTCTCACTCTTGCACAGGCTGGTCACAAACTCCTGAGCTCAAGCAATTCACCCACCTCAACCTCGCAGAGTGCTAGGATTACAGCCATAAGCCACTATGCCAGGCCCAAACAGTATTTAAGTACTTGTGCACCAGACACTGTTCTAGGGATGGGGATATAGTAATAAACGAAGCAGATAAAACCCCTGCGCTCAGGGACTTTATATTCTGGGGGGGGGGTGGAAATGATAAACAACTTAAACAAATATAAAGAATGTGTATATCAGAAGGTGGTCGTTACTCTGGAGAAATATATAGCAGAGAAGGGGAGAGAGGGGCCCCACGCCTGAGGGGCCATTGTGAATGGTGGGGAGAGGTCTTACCAGAAGAGACACTTGAGCACACGCTTCAGAGACATGAGGGAATGAGACACGTGGACACCTGCAGGAAAAGCAGGCGAAGATAAAGGGAAAAGCAAGTGCAAAGGCCCTGAGATGGGAGCTTGTCTGATGATTCCGGGCAGCAGGGCTGGAGCAGCTGGCAAAGAAGTAGAGCTATGAAGTCAGGCTTTCCAGAGACCTATCTATCATCTTGTGCTCTATTTTATTCATGTACCTGCACACACATATCTATCTATACACAGGGCCTCGAAGACGTGAAAGGCACTGGAGTTGTGCTTATTTACTGTTTGAGGCTGGTTCCCAAGAAGCAGGTCCTGAGATGGAAATTCTTGCCGGGGTGATTTAACGGGGGAGGCTTGACAGAAACATGTAGAGGAGTGAGGGAAGCACAGGAAGGTGGGGGGAAGGAGCCCAGCAGGCATGGGGTCTCTGTACCAGGGAAGCACAGGAGGGCGGGGAAAGGAGCCCAGCAGGCATATGATCTCTGTTCCAGTGCCCCTCGGCCTGATCTACAGGAGCTCTGGAGCAGACGTCCTCAAACTACAGCCCGCAGGCCACATGTAGCCCGCCGGGTGTTTTTGCTGCCGCTGTCTGTCCTGCTTGCCCCCAACTTGTCCCAGGGCCTGCAGTCCAGCCCTCCAACGGTCCGAGGGACAGTGAACTGGCCCCCTGTTTAAGAAGTTTGAGGACCCTTGCTCTGGAGCATAAAGGACCCTCCACAGCTTGATCCAACTTAAGGCAAAAGGGCTGAGCCTCATGCACCTGCCATCAGTTAGTAATTGGTTATAGGTGCCGCCCAGCCCAGGAATGGGGGCGCGTGAGGGGGAGGGCACTTTTAGCCAGGTGACTTCTGTTTGCCAAGGGCAATCCTCTGAAGGAATGACAGAGGGGGACCCTGACTCCTAAAGGGGATTTGGGCAGGGCCCCAACAGTTTCTACTTCACTCATACACAGAAATATGAAGAGAAAAAGTGCCAGATTTTTTTTTAAAAAAACTACACATAATGGATGTTGAAGTACGCAACCATCTGTTCAGTGCCTGTTTTGTCTCCCACTGTGTATGTCCACAGCAGTAAGCTCCACATTCCTGTTCACTGGTTCAGAGCCTCAGGTCACCTGCTCTCCCTCATATGTCCCTGGCATACTGACATGGGAGGAGGCTGGAGTAACAACATCCCTGTTGCTAGGGTCTGAATGTATGTGTTCTTCCAAAATTCGTATGTTGAGGCGGGGTGCAGTGGCTCACGCCTATAATCCTAGCACTCTGGGAGGATGAGACAAGTGGATTGCCTGAGCTCACGTGTTTGAGACCAGCCTGAGCCAGAGGGAGACCTCATCTCTAAAAATAATCAGGCGTTGTGGTGGGTGCCTGTAGTCCCAGCTACTCGGGAGGCTGAGGCAAGGGAATCACTTAAGCCCAAGAGTTTGAGGTTGCTGTGAGCTGTGATGTCCCAGCACTCTACTGAGTGAGGCTCTGTCTCAAAACAAAACAAAATGAAACACCAAAATTCATATATTAGAACTAAACCCAAAGGTATTAAGAGGTGGGCCCTTGGGAGGTGATTAGGCCATGAGGACTCTGCACTCATAAATGGGATTAACCCTTATAAAAAGGCTTTATGGAGCAAGTTTACCCATTTTGCTCTTTCTGTCCCTTCTGCCATGTGAGGACACACATGTCCATCCTCTCTGGAGGAAGTAGCAAAAGGGCACCATCTTGAAAGCAGAGAGCAGCCCTCACTAGACACCAATCCTGCCAGCACCTTGATCTTGGACTTCCTAGCTTCCAGAATTATGAGAAATTAATGTCTATTATTATTTATTCATTATTAATATTTATAAATGGTATTTTATCACAGCAACACAGACTAAGACACCTGCCCTACTCTGCTCACACAGGCCAATCTAGTTCTTGTCTGGGAAATGGGAATTCCTGTATGAGGCCATTCAACCAAGGAAGAGTCCCTAAAGCCTGCATTTAAAGAGCTGTCACCCTCAGTAAGTGACACCTGCCTGAGGTGCCAGTGTGGATAACACAGCGAGAGGTAAGAGGTGCTGAGGATAGCCTTTGACCATAATTATGTCCCTCTTGTGATGAGCAGAGTCCATGCAGTGGAAGTCGTTAGTCCATTTGGTGCAGGAGTCAGGTCACCTGCGGGCAGCGCAGCTCCTTCACATCCACCTTCATAGCAGACCTTGTGGCCCTCGTTGATTTCACATCAATTGGACCTGCTGCCAGCATCACAAAGGAGCTGTGAGAATTAAGTGGTAGGAAATATGTAATATCTACAGCACTGTGTCTGCACCTAGTGATCCACCAGGACACATTAGCTATCTTTAGTTCAAGTATTCAGAATAATAGGCAAGCCAGTGGTCAGCGCTCTGAGAGATATGGACATGGCATAGTCATAGTTTTCGGACTTTATGGTAGACACGACAGAGACAAGGTAAGAATACCAGTGACATAAAGTAGAATATGGGCTGGGCACAGTGGCTCACACCTGTAATCCTAGCACTCTGGGAGACTGAGGCAGGTGGATCACCTGAGCTCAGGAGTTTGAGACCAGCCTGAGAAAGAGTGAGACCCCATCTCTACTAGAAATAGGAAAACTAGCTGGGCAATGTGGTCTACTTGGGGGGCTAAGGCAGGAGTAGTTTGAGGTTGCTGTGAGCTATGATACCATAGCACTCTATTCAGGGTGACAGAGACTCTATATCCAAATAAATAAATAAAGTAGGATATGATCAGTGCAAGACAAGGATGGATATGGGTGTAATGGCCTGGGAGTCAGACCATGTTGTTTTGAGTTTGTTCTTAGAGAAAGAGAAGGATTTAGTAGACTGACTCCAGAGAAGGGAAATTCTAGGCCACAGGCTTGATGCGGACAAGGCCAAGGAGAGGTGAATGTGTGGGATATGTTTGGAGAATGGAGGGCCATTTAAGGTGACTCATGAGATTTAAGACAAGGAGCCCTGGGCAGAGCTCTTCACAGGGGTGGAGATCTTTCTTGGAATACTCTGGAGGGTCACTGAAGGTGGAATGTATATGTAGCTGCCCTAACTTGTTAGGAAGCATAGACAGCCTAAGATGAGTCCTGAAAAGCAGCCATAGAAATAATGAGAAGCAACTAGAAATGTTTCATTCATTGGATATCTGTTCCGGGATTATGCTAAGTGCAGGAGTGCAGACAAGTATAAAATGGAGCCTGTTTGGAGGAGCGTAGAAGTCTGATGTGATGGATACCCCCATCAACATGTGGATTCAGTGCAAGAGGCACCAAGAAGACAAAAGTCCTCTCTGTTCAGGAGGGCCATGTGGCCAAGGCTACTAGCACTGGGACAGGGGAAGAATTAGGGTGGAGACAGAACTTCTGGAACCAAGAGACCCCAAAGTGCTTAGGGCAGTGGTTCTTAACCTTCCTAATTCCGCACCCTTTAATACAATTCCTGTGGGTCGCGACCCACAGGTTGAGAACCGCTGGCTTAGGGCCAAATGAGGTAGAGGTTCCTTTTCCCTTTCATAAGTCCAGGGAGGGCAGTGGGCCCTCTGTGGGGGGAGGGTAATAGGACAGCACTATTGTCCCCCAGGGCACTGCATTGGGAAACTGGGCCATAGCCCACCTGCGTTCTAGGCAACCAGGGGGAAGAACAGAGATCCCACTGACAAGGGAATGGCTGGAACTGACTCCTAGATAGAGAACACCCAGGGAACTGTGTCACACAAGGTCCTCTTGTAGTGCAGACTCTCAGGGCCCTGAGGACAGAGGCTGACCCCTAGTGCCTGGTGCAGGATCCAGCCCTTTGCAAATTGATGAATGACTCCAAGAATGAAAGTATAGCATCTTCCCAAAAGTAATGTATGCCTTCCACCTGGGCACTGCTCAGGGTAGGCCCTGAGCAAGTGGGGGACTTGCTGCAACTGAGAATGGGGAGGGTGGGGTGCAGAGAAGGGCCTGGGGAGTAGAAATTGCAGCCGCAATTTGGGAATTATATCCCACTGCAGATGGTGAGAAGTGGTGAGGGGGTAAACAGGAAAGGCTGGGACAAAGCAACCCCAGGGCTGGCTGGGGTTACTCCTCCAAAAGAGTTTGGGGCAATGCAGGGAGGGCAGCAGGGCTGGGTGGGCTCTCAGGGAATGGACCTCAAGAGGCCCCCAGAGTTAGGGGAGTAGAAGAGGGTGCCCTGCCACCCTCAGAAGCAGGGAGGAGTTTAACACCAACACGGAGGCCAGCAGCAAGCCTGCTATTTTGGGGACCAGCTGGGCTTACCTAGAGGAGTCTAGAGTGCACCCCACGCCCCCAGTCAGCTCTCCTGGGTGGCCTGCATTAGAGACCTTGGGCTCTGCCTCCCCATGGAAAGGAGACAGAGCATGGTAGGTGAGGGCTAGGGTCAGGGCTTTGTACTATTTCTCTGGGTGAGGCAGAGGTAGGAAATGGTAAGAAGAAGTGTCCTCAGTCACTGTCATGTTCTGGATGAGCATGACTTGGGATTTGGGTTCCATCTCACATAAAGAAAAGAGGGTTTTCCTATGCTGCTATCTAGAAGAGTTCTTCTAACATTTTATTCTATAATTCTTAGGGTTTCATACCTTACATTTAAGTTTTCTATCCATCTTGAAGTAATTTTTGTGAGTGGTTGTGGGGTCCTGCCCCAGGGGCACTTTCCTCATCTGCATGGGGAAACTGGGCCACAGCCCATCTGAGTTCTAGGCAACCAGAGGGAAGAACAGAGATTCTTGCAAATATCCCTACTGGGTCTATAGACACTCTGTTTTTCCCTTTTTCTGGGGGTGTTTTCCCTTGGCAGTTGACTGAAGAAAAATAAATTTAAAAGCAGGAGAGATAAGTGATAGGACATTCAGAATAGTTTTCAAAGGTGGTAACACAGGGGACTACCTCTAGCTTGGGGAGCTTCAGCAAATGGCCCTGAGTGTTTGTTCCACTCAGCTTTTATTGAAGGCTATTTTCTCATTTAGCCTAGAGGGTAAGCTGAGGAAGGGGACAAAAACATCAGCAGTTTCTCTGAGTAAGCATGTTAGTTCTTATTCTATCTATAATCATTAACTCTAAGGGTCTGAGCAGCCTTGAGAAATCTGAAACCTGAGGCTTGTGTGGGGGGAGCCTCCGTTTGTGGTCACACACACAGATTCGATTAGTTCTCTGTGCAGCAGATCCAATGGCGTCAGGCTCCTCTGAAGAATTGGTGGAAGACTGGCTCGGCGCCTGTGGCTCAAGTGGCTAAGGCG